AAAAAAAAAAAAAAAAAAAAAAGAGAGGTCCCTGAGTTCAAGTTTCTCCCCCTCTCAGATGGGGAACTTGCAATCTTTCTCTCTCTAATTCATACTGTCTGTTATTTGTTCAAAAGCTTGTTATGTGGTGAAAGTTGCACCCATAATCCTTTTCTTGTAGTTTTCCACCTACTTCTACAGTGTATCAGGGACAAAGAAGATGATATTTTTACCACATGGGGCATAAAAATCTTTATTGAAAAGGATGAAAAGGGAGAGAATGAATAAGGGAGTTTTTAAATAAAAAAACTTTTTGAAAAAAGCAATAAAGAAAGAAAACACAGAAGAGAAGCTAAGGGAATATATGCTGTTGCAATTTCTTACTGTGGATTCTGAATTTTAAATGATTATTTGTTTTGTTTATGGCTCCATTTTGAAGCATAAAATTCTTTTCCAATTGCCATGCTCTGCCTGTTAAGTGATTTCTTTTTCTGCATGTTGATTATGGATCACTGCTGCATTGTTTGCAGTGTATGGCATCAACAACCATAGGGGAGTACAGGACCCAATTTGAAAAGGATAAAGCGTTGGCACGGAGATTCCAGCCGGTGTGGATTAATGAACCTAGCCAGGTTGTTTTCAGTTCAACATATGCTATAACTAAAATATTCATTTCCTTCTTTCTTTTCTGTTTCTTATTTGGACATTTTTGATAATTTGTAGGAGGATGCAATTAAGATACTTTTGGGTCTGCGTGAGAAATATGAGATTCATCACAAATGTAGATACACACTGGAAGCACTAAATGCTGCTGTGCACCTGTCAGCAAGATATATTCCTGATAGGTATCTTCCTGATAAGGCAATTGACCTCATTGATGAGGCAGGTAGTAGAGCTCGAATGGAGGCATTTAAGAGGAAAATAGAAAAACAAACTTGTATACTATCAAACTCACCAGATGATTATTGGCAAGAAATAAGAGCTGTTCAGGCCATGCATGAAGTGGTAAAAACTTTCTCAAGTATTGTAATTAGTTTCTTATCTGCTGCTCTTAGTTTCTTATCTGCTACTAATCTCCTTATGGCACATCTCTGATAAAAAGGTCAGGGCAAGTAGGATGAAACGTGATGATGTTACTTCCAATGAAGGTGGTAGTGGTGAACTCATTTTAGAATCACCTTTTCCTTCCACTTCAGATTATGATGAGTATGGTTTCTTCCTAAAACAATGATGAATAATAAATGCAGTTGGTTCTCATTCTTCTAAGGTTCTGTGAGAATGCTTGCTAAATTTCCTGCTGTGCTTGCATCGTTTCAGACCAACCGTAGTGGGACCTGATGATATTGCAGCTGTTGCTTCAATTTGGTCAGGCATCCCATTGCAGCAGCTGACTGCTGATGAAAGAATGACTCTGGTTGGTCTTGATGAGCAACTTCAGAAACGGGTTGTTGGTCAAGAGGAGGCTGTTGTTGCCATTTCTCGAGCTGTCAAGAGATCCCGGGTTGGACTGAAGGATCCTGACAGGCCAATTGCTGCAATGCTTTTTTGTGGTCCTACTGGGGTTGGAAAAACAGAACTAGCAAAAGCTTTAGCAGCATGCTATTTTGGGTCGGTAAGTTATCATATTATTTCTATCCTTCTTCCTTTCCTGTCATATTCGGTTTTGAAGCATGACCATTTTATGTAAAATGTTTTGATGAGATTTGATTGGTTGAATAAGAACAACATTTTACAATGATTGATGTAAATGTGAATGTTATTGATGGGAGAGTTGATTTAGTGGTCAAATTTTCAAATTTAGTATTATGGTGTATCTCACTTGTTTGAAATTTGTATCATCCATTTGAGATTTATTATCTCTTTCTGTTCCTTGATATAATCATTGCAGGAGGATGCGATGCTTCGATTGGACATGAGTGAATATATGGAGCGACATACAGTGAGTAAATTAATAGGTTCACCCCCAGGTTATGTAGGTTATGAAGAGGGAGGGATGCTTACAGAAGCTATTAGAAGACGGCCTTTCACATTGTTATTGCTTGATGAAATAGAGAAAGCCCACCCAGATGTATTTAACATCCTTCTCCAATTGTTTGAAGATGGCCACCTCACAGATTCTCAGGTAATTGACATTGAATTTTGATCAAGACAAGTAAAACCTTGATTGTCATCTAAATAGCTATTTTAAGTTTTGTGCATTTTCTTCCCTGCTTGATAGTATTCGACTGCTTCCATATCTTATTTGAGATTCAATTGAACAGGGTCGAAGAGTATCTTTCAAGAATGCATTAATAGTTATGACTTCAAATGTGGGTTCTACTGCCATTGCTAAGGGTAACCGTGGCTTTATTGGTTTTTTTGTCGAAGAAGAGAAGTCAACTTCGTATGCAGGAATGAAGGCTTTGGTAATGGAAGAACTGAAGGCATATTTTCGTCCAGAGTTGCTGAACAGGATTGATGAAGTGGTTGTGTTCAAGCCCCTTGAGAAGGAACAGGTTTGTTGCTTTCCGTTGATCTCCATAGAAGGTGCTCCTGAAGCTTCAATATATCAACTTTTAACCGAATGTTGGTGTTTCTTTACAGATTCTCGAGATTCTGGACATAATGCTGCAAGAGGTGAAGAGAAGGTTAATATCTCTAGGAATTGGTCTGGAAGTAACCGAGGCAATCAAGGATCTTATATGCCAGCAAGGCTATGACCGGACTTATGGCGCTCGGCCTCTCAGAAGGGCAGTCACCTCTTTACTTGAAGACCCCTTGAGTGAAGCACTCCTTGCTGGAGATTACATGCCTGGTGAGACTCTCATTGTTGATGTAGATTCTTCAGGAAAGCCATTTGTTACACGCCGATCAGATCAGAACGTAAACGTGTCTGATAAAACATCAATCGTCTAGTTACTGGGTATATAAATAATCTCATGATACAATCCTATACGTGTAAATGATATAGAAACGGTTTTTGTAGAGCAGATTATTGATTCATTCAAAGTGTATACGAGTAAAGCGTCTAATTATTTGGCAAATTGTTGTTCCCTACTCCAATTCCCTTAGCCAAATGTTTTCAACATTTCTATATAGCAATTTTTTTTTTTTGGTTTCCCACTCGGTATCCGGGACTTTGACCCGATTAATTTGGACCGACTTGCGTCGCGCAGTTGGAAATGATGAGTGAGTCTCTCAACGAAGACTGTTACGTACACAAGCTCTCGAACTCGAGACCTATCTTAAACTGGAACAAGTCACTTACCACTTGATCCAATTGCTCGTTGGTATTTTTATATAGTAATTTGCTGAGACCTAGGACTAACCATTAGCTCATATCTTTGGCCAAAAAATAAAAAAAAATTATATATATATATATATTATGTCATAACAAT